AATGCTGAAACCACACACACACACACACACACACACACACACACACACACACACACACACACACACACACACACACACACACACACACACACACACACACACACACACACACACACACACACACACACACACACACACACACACACACACACACACACACACACACACACACACACACACACACACACACACACACACACACACACACACACACACACACACACACACACACACACACACACACACACACACACACACACACACACACACACACACACACACACACACACACACACACACACACACACACACACACACACACACACACACACACACACACACACACACACACACACACACACACACACACACACACACACACCCACACACACCACTATTTTGTTTTGATAAACACACCAAGGTTACTGATACTTTTGTAAGATTGTTTGTTTGTAATTGCAGCCCCTGAGTATTAATTTGCATAATAAAGAACAATAGTTACTTTCTTTATATGTCCATCTGGAAAAATGATACCTGCAGTTATTCCTTTTTTACACTTCTGTTGCTCGCTGCATGTTTATGGGTGAGCTTCTGATGACAGTATTCTACAATCTGCTATTGATGGACCACAAACACATGCTCAAAATAACTGTGCCAGCTATAGATATATATAAGCAGGGGTGCACATAACCTTTTTGCCCTGGTTCTCAAAGGAGCACCTGGAGATGTTGCTTGGAGCTCATCCTTAAAATGAAATAAACCGTAACTTTTGAGGGGGTCTTGACTTTATTTGCCAGACACACGCCACTGAACACACATGCAGAGGTGAACACAGAACACACATGCAGAGGTGAACACAAGACAACATTAGCACGACCAGTAATCCTACAAGCTGTCATCACTCCCCTCCTGACTGTTCTCCTCACTGTCTTCCTCTCTGTCAGACATGGTAGCTGATGATGTAGGCCTACTTCTTTCTCTCTGGTTGAGTCTGCGATTAGCTGCTTGCATCCACAAGTCAACAGCTGGGTTTGGGTCGAAAGTCTCTGTTGTCATCTTAGACAAGTGGATGTAATCAAATAAGTATGTGAACATAACCAACAACCTACCATAGCCAATAACAAATGAATGCAACTTATTTTATTTGTGTTGTTCATTCATATCTTATTTTACCTTAACATTTATTTATGCATTTTTTTTTATCTCTCCAGTTTTAAAGGATATTTTTGGTTACTGTCCTATAGTATACATTGGAATGATTTAAAACCTGTTTATCCCAATAATTATAAAGGAGTGCCTTGACAATATGTGTTTACATAAATTGCGACCAAACCGTTTGAACTTAGACTAAAGTGAACTATCTAAACACTCAGAGTCCTTTACCTCACTGAGCTGTAGTATCAGCCTCTCAGTCTGACTGGAGAGGACTCTCCCTCCACATTATTGTAGAAACATCTTCTTCTTATATCCGTTAGAGCAGCTAGCACGGCACCAGATTCTAATAACAACAGCGCTGGTACCGGTACACCCTCCCTCGCTCACTCGCATTTTGGCTGTGAGCTGCGGGCGCCAGATAAGCCAACATCCCCCATTTTCATCACTTACAGCGCCCATCGTACAGGGCAAATGAAACGTGTAACCAGGGTGAAAAGGGTGTTACATTTACTTAATTATGAATATTGTTACATCAAGGCTGAAAATTAGGATGAGCCCCAACGGTCAAAATGTTTTTTTCCCTCCCAGAACTGCCAGCGCAGCGCCTCCACAGATCTGGCGCCCTATGCGAACATCTAGCCAGGGCTACGGGCCGACCCTGAGTTCATATCATGGTTCATATACATGTATGCAACTCGCAAATATCTTTTTCTCTCTCTCTCTTCTCTCTCTCCTCTATTTTCTCTTCTCCCTTCTCTCTCTCCCTCTCTCAATGTTGGTACGCAAATGCGCTTTGTTTCAAATGACCCGGTGCTCTTTTTTTGGCGGAGGTGCGCATGCGCACCTGCGCACCAGTTATGTGCAGCCCTGTATATAAGCCTCTACACACCTGCACTGCAAGCTTCAAATCACCTATCACCTAGTGCTTGATGCGTGTCCGAATAGAGAAAATATATTTTTTTTAAAAGAAGGTTTTATGTTCATGACACAGACTTTGAATCAAGATGAAAACAATACTGCGTTTTCCATTTTTGCAAGAACACCCTGAATGCCTCAAGTATGGGTTAACCCTAAAAACATCAAAAACCCTCCAGAGGGAGTTTCTCTCCCACACACTTGACGACTTCTGTATCATAATGACATCACTATGCAATTTCAAGCTTATATTGGCTAGTGCTCCAACACATTGTACACAATATAAAAAGGGGTTTGACATTTCCATCTCTAAGCGTTTGACCAATCTCAACAGAGCCGGCCAGCTAACCAATCAGAGCAGACTGGGCTCTGGTTTCAGACAGAGGGTGAAAAGAGGTACTGCAGCACAGGCAGTATGAAAAAAAATAAAGAGCTTTTTGAACATTAAAGCATGGAGACATGTCACAGGAAAGCCTAACCCTTAGCTCACATTAGCAGCAAACTGACAAAGCATACATTTAAAAACAGATGGATAGATGTACCCTGCTTCTTATGCATTGCGTGTTTGGCTCCAGCGGCTCATGATCATGACCCGTTTTATTGTATGTTTCATGATCATTTCAAAAGCTCCCTTGACACTTTGACTGTCATTGCTCATGTGAGCTCTATTCTGGTCCGTAGACCTGTTTCACGGACTCCATTTCGACATGTCACAGTTGGAAAAGCACGGGTATCGGTAATCAAATTAATGATGGATGAATTTCGCTTTTTTTTTCTTCATTTAGCTGCCTTGGTTTCAGGGTCCTGGTACTGTGCTCATTGACACGACTTAAAGAGAACAAGAACAGAGCCAAATACTATTAGTGCCCACTGCTCTGTGCCTTTCTTACTATGACAGTTCAAAATGTCTGCTGTGAAAAAGGCCCATTGTATTGACATCCAATTAAGTTGACAAGTGTCATCTTGAGCCAAAAAGCCATCACATCGATGAAAGGAGGTCCCTGTTTCTCTTTGTTGAGCTGGTGGACAGCTCGTTTCAGATTAAACTCTTCAAGTCAAGTTTAATATGAGATGGGAATTGCTCAGGTCGTTGAAACTGTTCTCGTCCCGAAGAGAAGCACCCTTCTGAGTGACATGAAGAACCCTTCTGAAGACGGAGGCCCACATTTTGTGCATACTTGTGAACCTTCATCACACATTACAGCATTATTAACGCAGTGTGTGTGTGTGTGTGTGTATGTGTATGTGTGTGTGTGTGTGTGTGTGTGTGTGTGTGTGTGTGTGTGTGTGTGTGTGTGTGTGTGACTGGGTTGTCAGTCTATCAGAGAGGATGGAGACTTGCACATGACGGAGAATAAGTGTCTTGTCAACATGGAAATGTGATTGATGGCTCTTCCCATCAAGCCCTGCACTGCTACTCAGCCATGTGATGTCTTCATAATGTCATTATGTGAATTCACACATTGACTTCTTTACTGCATCTCAGTGTACTGTAAGATGCTATATGTGAGGTCATACGAAATATGTTTTCTAAGCTCTGCTCACATATGAGCCGTGTCGAAAGCCACCATGAGAAACGTGAAATAATTCCTTGAATAAACTCAAGGATTTTGCACTGTTGTTGGGTTGTTGGTCATTGCAGCGGTAAACACATGGATAATAGTCCAGGACCTATATGTAAGGGAGCCTCTTGTATGCCAGACTAAAATGTCAGGCTGCATCCCTAAGAATCGGGCCCGGCTTCAAGCCCAGTGAATAATCCAGCCTTGTGTGTAATCAGCGTGAAAGAACAAGCTCTGAGTCGCCGGCGAGCGACTCAGGGCAGGCTGTTAAAAATACCCACTTCAGTTGTATGATGAAGGAAAGGGAATAATAAAAAAAAACATGCCAGGCCGCAGTTCTCCCATTTCCGAAAGCAAACCCTAGCCGGAATTTAGCATACCAATTTTTGGGCTTTTACAAAGTTGCAGGAAAAGGAATGAAAACGAGCTGCAGTCCTCAGTGCTAAATTGCAAATGTTATTCTTACAAAGGGTAAACTAATGTAGCTATTTTTGGTAGTTATAATGCAGTCAATTATGTTGGATTGTGTTGTGGGGAGATGGTCTAAGGCAGTGACCATCAACTGGCGGCCCGCGGGCCACATCAGGCCCGTCAGACATTCTCATCCGGCGGGGGTGACTGTGGCGTGTAAAAAAAAAAAAAGAAAAAAAAAAAAAGTGAGAAAGTTGCATGCTTTGTGATGACGCCTGAGATTGTACTCTTTTGCAACAGCAACCGTTTCATTGCAGATAAGGCAAACAGGTGTAGCCTTATTGAATGATGGCATGATGAATGCGTATTTATCTGCCCATTCCTCATTAAAACTGCGGTTTTCCACGTCAACTTTACACTTGAGGCTCTTTGACAGTGACATTTTTGCGTGCCTGGCAAACAATTTTCTTATATCCTGCAACCGTTTCCCACCAATCAGGACACGGTATTAATAAAAAAGTTGATTCCTTTCCCTGCCAATCAGGACTGCTTTCAGTTTTATTAGCCCGGATGCAGGCTTATAAAAAAAAAGATTTTTTTTTCAATAAAGTGAAAATATTAATCATATATATAAATCTCTGGCCCCTGAAAGTGTCTCTTGGATTAATTTTGGCCCTTGGACAAATGTAGTTGGTGTCCTCTGGTCTAAGGTCAAAATGGAAATGCCAGATGGATGATTTACTTAAAAGGCTGAGATACACCCGGTGCAGAACTGGAAATAAAAAACGAAATAGTCTTATCCATAAGCACAAATAATTACAACCAGCCAAAGAAATAAAATGTCTTCTAGTTAACTAAATAATCTTTAATACCATTACAATTATTGGAAAATGTCTATATATATATATATATATATATATAAACTAAAATACTCAATAACAGGTAAAGTAAACTTACATCTCCATGGAAGCTGTATTTCCCTCTCACAATGGACCTGTAGAGGCGCGTCCGGCTGTCATCTTCAAACGGCATGGACCCACTCAGCACGATGTAGGCGATCACCCCCAGGGCCCACATGTCCACAGCACAGGAGTAGGGTCTACTTAGCAACACCTCAGGGGCCATGTACTCAGGGGTCCCACAGGTGGTTCTGAGGGACCAAGTTTCTGCTCCTGAGTGATCTCCGGATGAGACCTCGGACCCTGCGCCGCCAAAAGTGGCCAGTCCAAAGTCTGTGACGAGCAGCCTGGAGTCAGCCCCTGGATGGTAGTACAGCAGGTTCTCAGGCTTCAGGTCTCTGTGGGTGATGCCCAGATTGTGGAGGTACGCCACCCCAGCCAGCACCATCCTGAGGGCCTGGGTGGCGTCCCTCTCCGTGAAGTGACCCCTGCTGACCACGCGGTCCAGTAGCTCGCCCCCTGTGGCCAGCTCCAGCACCATGTAGACCCTCTGCGGGAACTGAAACACCTCCATCAGCTGGATCACGTGAGAGTGGCTCACCCGCTGCAGCACCGCCAGCTCCGAGGCGCACACCTCGCGGCCCTCGGGGCCCTCCACCTCCATCATTTTAATGGCGAAGGGCTGGCGAGTCGCCCTGTGCTCCACGCGCACAACGCGGCTGAAGCTCCCCCGACCGATCAGAGCCTTGATGTCGTATCTGACAGGACAAGAGGGGAAAGATGAGTCATTACAGCATTAGTATCTCATGATACATGTTACTCAGCGCTGAATGTCCCTCACTGCAGATGCAGCTGTGATGTATGGGGATATATCTGCATGTTGTACAGTGAAGTCGATGAGACAAATTCATATAAGAATACACTATGATTTAGATCCCCAACAAGGCAATATATAAGCCTCCACTAATCAGATGTAGAGGGATATGCGCACTGACATCAGTTTCCGAGCTTTAATTGTCTCCGCTCTCTCATCTGACAACAGGAAGCCAGTCTTCAGGTATAATAAGGCCTCTCAAATGAAAACTGTTACTGCTAATAAATTGTGTGACATGAAGGTTGGCGTTGGCAGGCTGAGTTAATGAAAGAAGCCGGTGACATTAGCAGTCTTTCATGAGCACTGTGAATGCCTTTAATAAGTCACTTCACCTTGTGTCTTGCTGTGAAAGATCTATTTTATTAATGACAAATTGTCTTCTCACAGGGCTGAGATAGTAGTACTTGTTTACAGTGCAGCATTTATATCTTTCAAATGAGAAATAAGAAACTCAGAAGCAGGTCAATTGTCGAGTATGATTAAAAAGATCTTCAAAATATTAGTATTATTTATTTGTTTTTTGGCAGAATAGTTTAACATTATTGATGTTGGCAAATAATATAATTTAATGACAGTTGCACTACAAAAACAAAATGTGTCATATTGCATTGCTGGGTTGAAGGATTACTTCAATAATAGGGTTGTCAAAAAGTAGATCCGCTCACCTTGCTGTCACACGTGGATCAAACTTGTCCTTATACTTTGCGACTCTTGCCTGCTGTCGTCCCTCTCTGAGTATCTGCTGCTGTCCGCTTGATGCAGGTTGGAGATTTTTAGCACCGGTGGAAAACCATGGAGCTCTTCTCTTCTTTGCATGCTTGTTCGACTCATCATCACCGTGAGCTTTACTAAAGGCCACGAGAGACTGCACCACACTTACATAGCCCTTCTTGGATGCCTCAGGCAGCACCTTAGTGTTCCCACAGCCCATCACTCGATGATCAAGCCATGCAGGGGACAGAAAACATCTCCTGTAAACTGAATGTAGCTCAGAAATAAGAAGAGTCCACACTGCAGCAGGTATTCTTTCATGCAGGTGTTACTTGAGGTTTGCAAACAACAAGCTCCTCCCACAGCAGCAGGGAGGTCGGCAGGTGTTTGAACGCACCATCTCACTCACATATGTGATAGAAGTGTCAGGTAAACGAAAGTGTTTTGAAGCTATTGTCAATCCTCTCATGGTAGATTAACGTAACAAGCATAGCATGAAGGAGAAAATTGTGAAAGGAAGAACACCAACCAAGCCAAGATTATATTGACACTCAGGGGCCTATAGGCCTACTACGAAGCAGGATGTTCGCTTAGCCGGCTAACTTCAGGGAAAACTCCGGCTTTCCGGTCCTACGACGCTGGTTCTCTTTTTAGCGGGCTAGATCTCCATGGTAACTTATGCTGTGCGGCTAACCTGCCCCGGAGCAGGGGCCTATACTACGAATCAAGATTTTCGTTTAGCAAGCTAATTTCTGGGATTTCCGGTTCTACGAAGCTGGTTCACTTTTTAGCGGGTTAGATAGGCTAACTTATTCTGAACGGCTAGCCTGCGCCGGAGCAGGATAGGTTCCAGGATAAGAGATCAACTGTGCGGAGTTCTTCTTCTTCTTTGCTTTAATGGCGAATCGCTTACACTTGGAGCATATCGCCACTATACTGTTGATTTATTTAATGTATAAACTGCCCATATTGTTCATGTAGAACAGTGTTCACGTAAGCCTGCACATTGATTTAATTTTTCATTGAATGTAACCGTTTCAATAAGGATAGGCCTACATCTATTACAGGTTGAGGTAGAAACCATGGTGGAGCAGCTGATAACAACAGTGTGCAGAGTTTAAAGCGATCAAGTCATATTACAGGATAAAGGAAATACAGTTTAAACTGCCGTTGCAGTTCAAATCACCGACTGTGTGAACGTGAAAATGAATAGAATATCACCTCCCATCTTCAGAGCAATCTGACAATTATAACATTAGCATTAAGAAAGCTTACTTAAATATCTGCCACAACATAAGTAACCGGATCAAAGTAACATTACGTAGCCTACAGTCCGCGGCACTGTGAGTGCAGACGTCGATGTGTCCCATTATCATTCAAGCTCAGTTGTCAAGACAAGCTTCTTCCAGCTGCGGCTTCTGGGGAAGGTAAACGCCTATCTTCCTAGTAAGGAATTTGAACAGCTAATCCACTTATTTACAACGTCTCGTTTAGACTATTGTAACTCCCTCTATATTGGTGTTGACAAGTGTTTGATCCGTCGCCTGCAGCTGGTCCAAAATGCAGCTGCACGCCTTCTTAATGGGAAGAGACGTTATGACCACATCACACCCGTTTTGGCAGACCTTCATTGGCTTCCTGTCAGTTACAGGATCGCGTTCAAGTACTTACTTGTTGTTTTTAAATCATTGCATGGACTGGCACCACATTACCTGTCTGAGTTGTTGCACCGCCATGCTCCAGCTAGAGCATTGCGCTCAGCTCAGCAGAATATGTTGGTGGTTCCTCGGAGCAGGAAAAAAACCCGAGGTGACAGCGCTTTCAGTGTTGCAGCTCCCAGACTGTGGAACAGCCTCCCAGCACATATCCGGACTGCTGAGTCTATTGAACTTTTTAAATCTCAGCTAAAAACTCACCTCTTTGCACTGGCTTTTAATACTAGTTGAACATTACATTTTTATATTTGTATGTGTTTTTTATTTATTTATTTTTTATATGTTTCTAGTTATTGTGCTTTTTATTATGTTTTTAATTCTCCCATTGTGTTATTTAATATTGTAGTTACTGCCTGTACAGCATTTTGGTCAACTGAAGGTTGTTTTAAATGTGCTATATAAATAAATAAAGATTGAGATTGAGATATCACATCATAATGTAGGCTATCATATATTTCCTTATCTGAGTCAGCTGAGCCGTATCTGGCCGTGCAAAGCTTACAGTGTCACATACTGTATGCAGAAGTATTATTTTAAGCAACACATTAAGTTGACGAAACACTCGAGTCAAATGTAATTAAAGTCAGATCCACTCGTGTTTTAGACGGGGCAGTGATATCATAAACCTATTAATGTACGCATTCAAACACTTTTTCTTTTACCAGCTGTATTCACCTTGCAGGTGCAGGCAGCTATGTGGCTTTTATCCTGGATAAAGTGTTTAAATCATGGATGTTTAAAGTTTAACTTCTTCATATCTGATTAATATTATAGTTTTCATTCAGGAAGTGTGACGCTGCGCTGTCAGTAGCTTCTCCATGTTTGTGATTGGTCGAATGCTCCAGATACCACGTCCCTTTTATGTGAACGCACCTATAGGACACGGCTGGCTTGAGCGAACGAGTTGATAGCCAGCGTTGTAGTGTAGGACAGTTTAGCCAGGGCCGTATCCAGGATTTCCTAAATACCGAGGTCCAAACATGCTAGGGGGGTTCGGGGGATACCCCCCGAGATTTTTGGGATTTTCATGATCTAGTTACAGTAGGTGCTTTTTAAGTCCTGTGGGGGTTCACAAAATGGATAATATATTGATATCAAACCATGTCAGTGGGCTGACAATGTCAGCATCAATTATTTTAAAGTGTAATACATAAGAATCAGTTGATTGTTACTATTAATGATCTGGACATGCAGAAGAGGCTAAAATGATCACAAAACATTGTCAACATTAATTTCCCATGTCTCTCTCCTTTCCATAACCTGCCCCCTCTCTTCCATCTTCTTTAGTCTCTCTGTCGTCTTCCTGTTCTTTGCTCTCTCTGTCCTCTACGCTTTCTCTTTGTTCAATCTCTCCCTCGTTGTTCACTTTTTGCTCCTCCTCACTTTTTGCTCCTGCCAGTGAATTAAAAGCAATTCAGCTATTTAGTTCATTTCACTTGTTTGTTTGCATTCTTTTTTTATTTAAATCTGTTTTGTTTGATTTTCAAAAGAGAACAAAGATGTAAGCAAATTGTGTGTTATTACAACATCATAACTGCAATAGATGTATGTTTTAAAAGTATGTCTATTGTAAATAAAGACTATTGTTATAGATAGATAGATAGATAAATATATAGATAAATAGATGGGCTTATTAAGCCTACATTATTTTGTGTGACTCCAGTTCCTCCCTGACTTCAATCACTTTCTCTCTTTCTCTCTGCCTGTCCTGTCTCTTCCTTACCAAAGCTGAACTTCGACTGACGTAGTCTTTTCATTATATCTGAGTCAGTGTAAAAAGAAAACAATACAATGTTATATCTTCAATGTTTTACTCAAATTGAAATGAAAGAAAAGCATTACAACGTTTGTTAAAAGGTAATCCTTCTGACATTGGATGAATGTAATTAACTGTAGCTCTCTAGCTAGTTTATTCACGCAATTTAAACCAACGTATAGCCTATAGCTGCAATATAAGTTAGTGTGCATGTTGTCGGACGTCCACTGACTAACGTACAGCGTTCACACAGGATCTGCTGGTCATATGATGTCCTGATGAGCAGAAACACAAGCAGCCCGCTGGACTCAGATCTCTAGATACTTCATCACTCCTCCGCTGCTCCGGTACAAGTCTGGGATGCGGTGGTTTGTTGATACATGTCGTCTTCTTCTGTTTGCTTTAATCGAGGCTACGTAGTTATGCAGCGCCCCCATGGTCAGTAAATGGAAGTTCTACAAAGAATCCCATTTAGTGCAATTATTTCACAAGTTTTGTTATACACAGCTCGGAAAATATTACCGAGGTCCGGACCTCGGTGACCTCAATGGTAGATACGGCCATGAGTTTAGCGAGAGCGGCTTTGTTTTGGATTAAGTCAACCGGATAACTCAAAACATATCCAGGATATGTTGAACTGGATTCGTAGTATACCCCCCTGGTTAGGTTGCAGGCTAAGAGATCAACTCAGTGAAAGCACTGCCTGCTGACCAATCAGAGCTCAGTGTGCGGAGTTTAAAGCGATCAAGTCATATTACAGGAGAAAGGAAATACAGAAAAACTGCCGTTGCAGGAAGGACGGCCGGCCGGCAAAAATCACCGACTGTGTGAACGTGAACATTAATAGAATATCACCTCCCATCTTCAGAGCAATCTGACTAGTATAACATTAGCGTTAAGAAAGCTTAATTAAATATCTGCCACAACATAAGTAACCCAACAGCAGTTCAGAGTATACAGCCTTCTTGGAGACCCTGGAAAGAGTCCTGTATGGGGCTCCTGAAGGGGACTCTTTAATCTTGCTGGGAGACTTCAACGCACATGTGGGCAATGATGGAGACACTTGGAGGGGCGTGATTGGGAGGAACGGCCCCCCTGATCTGAACCGGAGTGGTGGTTTGTTACTGGACTTCTGTGCTAGTCTAGTCATGGATTGGCCATAACAAACACCATGTTCGAACATAAGGATGCTCATAAGTGTACGTGGTACCAGAGCACCCTAGGCAGAAGGTCCATGATCGATTTCGTTATCGTATCATCGGACCTGAGGCCGTATGTTTTGGACACTCGGGTAAAGAGAGGGGCGGAGTTGTCAACTGATCACCATCTGGTGGTGAGTTGGGTCGAGTGGCGGGGGAAGCCTCTGGATAGACCTGGTAAGCCCAAACGTGTAGTTCGGGTGAACTGGGAACGTCTGGAGGAGGCCCAAGTTCAGGAGGCCTTCAACTCACACCTCCGGCAGAGCTTTTCGGGCATTCCTGTGGAGGTTGGGGACATTGAACCAGAGTGGACTCCCGAGGCAGTTGCAAGGTACCGACAGGCCCGAAGGGCAGCAGCCTCATCCGTGGCCGAGGCAAAGCAGCGGGTGTGGGAGAAGTTCGGAGAAGACATGGAGAAGGACTTTCGGGCGGCACCAAAGTTGTTCTGGAAAACTGTCCGACACCTCAGGAGGGGGGAAGCAGGGAACCATCCAAGCTGTGTACAGTAAGGATGGGACGTTGTTGACCTCAACTGATGGAGTGTTAGGGCGTTGGAAGGAACACTTTGAGGAACTCCTGAACCCGACAACTCCGCCCTCTATGTTAGAGGCAGAGCTGGAGTATGATGGGGGATCAACACCAATCTCCCGGGGGGAGGTCACTGAGGTCGTCAAACAACTCCACAGTGGCAAAGCCCCGGGGGTGGATGAGATCCGCCCAGAAATGCTGATGGCTCTGGGTGTTGAGGGACTGTCATGGTTGACACGTCTCATCAACATTGCGTGGAAGTCGGAAACAGTACCGAAGGAGTGGCAGACCGGGGTGGTGGTTCCCCTTTTTAAAAAGGGGGATCAGAGGGTGTGTGCCAATTACAGAGGCATCACACTACTCAGCCTCCCCGGGAAAGTTTACTCTAAGGTACTCGAAAGGAGGGTCAGGCCGATTGTCGAACCTCAGATTGAGGAGGAACAATGCGGATTCCGTCCTGGTCGTGGAACGACGGATCAGCTTTTTACTCTCGCAAGGATCCTGGAGGGATTATATCTCTTCGCTGGCCTGGGAGCGCCTTGGGATCCCCCAGTCAGAGCTGGTTGATGTCGCCAGGGAAAAGAAAGTTTGGGGCTCTCTGCTGGAACTGCTACCCCAGCGACCCGACCACGGATAAGCGGGAGAAGATGGATGGATGGATGAACATATGTAACCGGATCAAAGTAACAGTACAGTCCGCGCATAGGCGGCGCGTGAGGCTCAGGTTTGGGAAGGCTAAATAACTTTTTTTTATAGTTTAAACTGCAGTAGCCTGCAGAGAAGACACCGAAGTGTCGCACTTATCATTCATATCACATCATCAATCAGATCATCGATCATATAATATCATAATATATCATATATTTCCGTCATATATTATAAAAACAATATTTCCGTCTGAGTCAGCTTCTCGAGCCGTATCTGGCCGTGCAACACTTAGGCTACATTGTCACACATACTGTATGCAGAAGTATTATTTTAAACAACACATTAAGTGGACGAAACAAATAATAATAAATTATAATAAAGAATGAATCACCAAATATCCTGATTTTTGTTTCTGCATTTCACTAGATTCCCATAACTCAACTCACTAGCCCTTTGATGACATTATCAGGGTTATGTTTTTAATTTCAATTTTTAAATGTACCATATGAAGCTGCTTTTTTTAACCATTGACTCATGTATCTATCTGCTTTCTCAGCCTCTTATGACGAGTAAGCTAACTTTCATGTGGAACATTTGTTGAGAGCTGCGGATGTATTTATAAAATGTGTGCATATTGCTACTAGGTAAATTATTCTTCTGGCAGTGTCAACATAACGGCATACAGATAAATCAACTTATCTTCGAGTCAAATCAGCTACTGTTACATTTGTGGCGATGTACTCCCTCGAGCAACACCTAGGAACTGTAGCATTTCTTGTTTTTGCATTTATACCTCGAGATAAAGCACCCACATCCTGTCAATCTGTCAATGGCAGCATAAAAAACTCATTTTCACAACCACATTTCGACTATTTTAGAAAACCCTGCAGATATATTTACCTTTTATAAAAGTGAAAAATAGCACACTATGACACACAGATTAATGTATGTGTTATTGTGTTTGAAACTAATGCAGTAGTATA